GTCACCTCCGCTGATCTCTATCTAGCGTGTCGTGGAGCCTGCTTCGGCACGGTTTCCAGGCCCCTGCACGTCAAACACCATCCCTGCTGACCACATGAGCATGACTAAATTCCAACACTCGTCCCAAGTCGGATATGAGCGATTGTCTGATAGGTTGAGGAGATGGGTTGACGAGATTCGGGAAGATACGGGTACGGCGTGACACGCATGAGTCCAAAAGACAGCCTAACTGAGTAATTCTCATAGCAATTTCAAGCACAAATACAGCCCATCAAAGTGCGTCCACTGGCTTTCAATCGAAAATTCTCTTGACCTGCTGACGAGCAACAGTTTTACCGCAACCAGGTGCTGTTGTTGTAATGCCGTTTGCGCAGGACAAAGACTTTGTTGGGCGTGAGGACATCATAACGAGTCTTGATGAGGGGTTCTCCCAATCGACATCTCTTCGACGGATGGCCTTGGCAGGTTTGGGCGGTATCGGGTATGGTTTACTCGCTCGAAGTGCTGAAATCGCTGACGAGTGAAAGTAAATCCCAAATTGCCATTGAATACGCATATCGACTGCGAAAGAAATGGCCGGCAAGATCTGTGTTCTGGGTCCACGCCAACAATGCTGCTCGCTTTGAACAGGGCTATCGGAATATCGCTACCGCCACCAAGATCCCCGGCATCGAGTACCCCAATGTCGATGTTTTGAATCTGGTGTCTCAATGGCTGGGCAGCTCCGAAAGTGGTGATTGGTTTTTGATCCTCGACAACGCGGATGATGCAGATATGTTTTTCGGCCCGCTTGTAGGCCCCACGACTCAGAGTGATGCAGCAAGTATCGAACCTCCATGCCTGTCACGGTTTTTGCCGCAGACAGGAACCGGATCAATATTGGTAACATCCAGAGACGAGGGCACAGCGTTCGGTCTCACTGGAGGACGGAAACAAGTGCTGCGGGTCGACGTCATGTCAGAGGATGATACCATCGCATTACTTACCAAAAAGTTGCCCGAAGACCCCTCGGATAACTCTGCAAAGAAAGAATTGATCATCGAACTTGATTCAGTACCACTGGCGGTCACTCAAGCCTCAGCGTACATCGCTGTCCAAGGTTCAAGGATGACGGTGGCAAAGTATCTTCAATTGCTGCGACATGATGAGAAGAATCAGATAGACCTACTCAGCAAAAACGAGGTAGACCTTCGAAGAGATCCTGGAGTCCCAAATTCGGTCATCAGAACATGGCAGATTTCCTTCTCGCAGATCGAAGATCAAACTCCAGCCGCAGCTGACCTCTTATCATGCATGTGTATGCTTGATCGACAAGGGATTCCCGAATTCCTGTTCTGTGAAGATGGCGATCAGTCTCTGAACTTTGAAGAGGCTATTGGAACTCTGCTCCGATTCTCGTTTGTGATACAAGAGCAGGGAAACAAAGGGTTCGCAATCCATCGACTTGTGCAGCTTGCAACGAGGAAATGGCTTGAAGCATATGGAGAGATGGGGAAAGCTCAAGAAGAGGCTCTGAGACTAATCTCGGACCATTATCCAGTAGGCACATACGAAAACTGGACAGTATGTGAAGCTCTGGAACCACATGCGCAAGTTGTCCTGAAGTACACCTATGACTCAGAAGCTTGCAAACTTCAGCAATCGGACATCCTTTACAACGGGGCTCACTACGCTGGCGCTCAGGGGAGGTTCAACATTACGGAGGAAAAGGTACAAAAAGCCATAGATATCCAAATGATGTGTCTGGATTCAGACGATTCAATCACCTTAAGTAGTCTTCATACCCTCGCCTCGACATATCGGAAACAAGGTCGGTGGACTGAGGCGGAGGCACTGAATATACAGGTGCTAGAGATAAGAAAAAGAGTATTAGGAGCCGAGCATGAAAACACGCTGACCACCATGGGCAATCTGGCATTGACGTATCAGGAACAAGGTCGGTGGACTGAGGCGGAGGCACTGAATATACAGGTGCTAGAGATAAGAAAAAGAGTATCAGGAGCCGAGCATCAAAACACGCTGTTCACCATGGGCAATCTGGCATTGACGTATCAGGAACAAGGTCGGTGGAGTAAGGCGGAGGCACTTGAAGTGCAGGTACTAGAGATACGTACAAGAGTATTCGGAGTCGAGCATCCAGACACGCTGATCACTATGAACAATCTGGCAACGACCTATGGGGATCAAGGACGGTGGACTCAGGCGGAGGAACTTGATGTGCAGGTGCTAGAGATAAGTAAAAGAGTATTAGGAGTCGAGCATCCAGGTACGCTGACCACCATGAACAATCTGGCATTGACGTATTCAGGCCAAGGCCGGTGGATTGAGGCGGAGGCACTGAACGTGCAGGTGCTAGAGACGAGGAGAAGAGTATTGGGAGCCGAGCATCCAGACACGCTGACCACCATGAACAATCTGGCATCGACGTATTCAGGCCAAGGCCGGTGGATTGAGGCGGAGGCACTGAACGTGCAGGTGCTAGAGATGAATAGAAGAGTATTGGGAGCCGAACATCCAGATACACTGACCGCCATAAACAACCTTGCTTGTACTTATCACGATCTCGATCGTCACAATGAAGCAATCACATTGATGGAGCAAGCTGTGGAGCTAAGGACAAAGAATCTAGGGGCAAATCATCCAGACACGATTACTTCAATCAATGCACTGGCGGTCTGGAGAGACAGTTGAGATCGGATCTGATTATCAAGGGGCGAGGGTACGGTCTGGGCTCATTGGCGTTCCGGGGGTAGAATACAAGCATGGATGAAGATAGCATACCTAACGAATCAACGATGAAAGCGCTCTCAAACAGCGGCAGCTCTACAGCAGCATGAGACACATGCTCCCATATCATGGCTCGGAGTTCATGGGCGTAGGCTAGTAAATCCCAGTCTGCACCACACTGGCTTTTGATAGCGAGACTGGGTTTCACGTCGGAGAAAGGCCAGCGAGCGGTACAATGGGTATCCAACTCACATCCGAAACCATCTGGATCCCTGCATCTAAATCCCGGAAACGGCATTAGGTTCCCCTAGCTCCTCACACGTGACCGAGTTGGAGTTTAAGTTGGAGTTCGAGTGCGCTGACGATCTACGCTCATTTTGGTCTCTCTAGTATTACGTCGCTGGTGATGAGGGATTGACCCAGATGCTGAACTTCAATTCTCCACTTGGGGAGTCACAGTTTACTTTTCCTCAACTTTTTCCCCAGAAAAGACAACCAAAAACCCCCCCCCTAAAAAACCCCCCGCCAAACGGGGGTTCCTGCTTTCTTTTTTGGACAAAGAAGCACCCCCCCCCCACACCCCCAAAAAAAAAAAAAAAAAAAAAGAAAAACCACCCAACCCACAAAAAAAAAAACAAAAAAAAAAAAAAAAAAAAAAAAAAAAAAAAAAAAAAAAAAACCCCCCCCCCCCCCCCCCCCGCCCCCCACCAACAAAAAAAAAAAAAAAAAAAAAAAAAAAAAAAAAAAAAAAAAAAAGAAAAGGGGAAGGGAAAAAGAGCCGGACGAGTACGGCTCAATTTTGGTGTATTAGGAGAGGTCTTGGCCTGAACGACAGTGAATCAGACAGTGAGTCGCATCCTGCGTTGGTTGAAAGGTTGGTGAGGCACTTAGACATCGGCAAGATTTCTCCTGAAGGCCTCACTTACCAGCTTGGGAAACGCAAGTTGTGGTAGGCGGAATTGGGGAGACAAAAAATGCGAGATGGGGGATCGCATCAGTGACAAATCACGAGCGAAGAAGTGACTTCGAGGGATGTGCCGAGAGTCTCATTGTTCATTGCTTGTGTTAAACGCCCTTGGGCTTTTTCAATGTGCTGGAGATCCGGTTGGTCTTGGCTTGTGTTATGTATCCGACAGTTGACACATTGCATTTATGACACTCCAGTTAGATGATCACTGTAAGAACTTTTCTAGCGCTGAGTCCCCTTCCCTTCCAGATTATGAAGTTCTTCAGAGCCACGATATTGGGTAAATACCATCTTCTTACGACCTCAGAATAGTATCTACGTCCCTACCTGAGTATCACTATCATGCCGGCACCTATCAACGCAAAGCTTGATAAGAAAATCGTTCAAGTTTCAGTTCCTTTGCAACATCCCAACTATCGAGCTAACTCCTCCCCTCGAGAAAGAAGAATGCGGCGTCTGCAAGGAGCCATACAGAAACAATGGGGGAGGAATTCGGTGGGACAGTACATCGTCCAGTTGCACTAGCACCATGCGGTCACATACTCGGTTTCCATTGCCTCGCTCGGTGGATGCTGTCGGCCAGTTTCGACAACCATTGCTCTCTCTGCCGCGCACAGATTGTCAACCCCGTGCAACTGGAGAGCGACTCAGCCGCGCCTTGGCGTACCCTTTCGCACCACTGGAGATCCTCGCTGTCGTTGCCAGTAACGGTATTTCACAGATGCAAAAGAGTCAGCTGCTCAAATTCTTTGGGAACTCGACACTGAATAGTACGCTTGTCTGTAGATTGCTGTTTCTACAGCTGGATTTATGATCTAATCTTATGCAAGAGAGATGCCACAAAGATGTCCCCTAGGAGTAGTCTCATGAAGTAGTACTATGCCGCACCCCTTACACATGGATAAACAGTATCGGAGCAGAAATAGAGAAATTTATTCGGAGGAGCTCAAAAGAATTCATCCACAGAATTGGGCTCACCCGCATATCAATTTGAGAGTGTTTCAAGCTGAAGCTAAAACACATCTATTTCGTTTCGCCTAGCGCCATCAAGTAGATTCGTAAACACCTTATTCCATTTTCCAATCTCCAACACCATCGCTGATTAAGTCTAACACCACCAACCACTGTCCATTCCACCCATAGAACTCTTCCTTCTTTGTGTACACCACTCACCACGGTTGTGGTTTTTCCCTGAACCTTCACAGCTCCCCTTCGAGGTCTTTTTCTATCCGCATGAATCTTCCTGACATCAGCACTCCAAGATTCCAGGATTCACAAGGGACTCATCAACCTCTAGGTAGTCACGATGGAAATAATACGAATGCCCGTCGAGCTGTTGAATGAGATCTTCATGAAGGTATGAGGACACTCAAGGCGATGATTGGCTTAGCTAATACCATAAAGCTGCGCGCTGACGGTCTCCTGAACTTGCTTCCGGTTGCGCTGGTGTCGCGCCATTTCTACAGAATAGTGACACCGCTGACCTATCAGACTATCTATATTGACATCTCTGGCTGTACCTACCCTCACCCCCACGTGGAGGACCACACGCCTACCAAACGGCCTCTCAGCACGCTTATCTCACGGCTCTCTGCTGGACCCGCGGTCCTTGCTTTGGTCAGAAACATTCATGTCTTTGGCCGTGACGGAGTTCATCCAGGTGCTCTAGAGCTATTGATAGGCTGGCTCCCCAAACTCCGTCAGCTAAGTTCGTTTTCCTGGAATTGCGACGGTTCTTTTCCACCGAGTCTGCTCACAAGCCTCGGTCAGCACTGGCCAAAAGCTCACCTAGACATGCGTACAAGCTTTTCCAAGTGCGACATCAAAAAGGATTGGAAAGTCCTCAGGCTAGCTCCAAACATGCTACGTTCGCTCCATGTCTGCATGCCCAACTATCCATATGACAGAGTCGGAAAAGAGGCCCGTGTGGCAAAGAGCAAGCTTTTGTGGGCACTAAGAAGTTGTCCAGGTTTACACAGCCTTACTACGTATGATCCCAATGTTTACAGGAATAATCGCGGCCTTGGAGCATCGGAACCATGGCATGATTTGAAGCCTGAGTTTCTTCTACCTCAACTCGCGGAACTTACGATTGCAGACAGAACTTTTGAGGTAGACGATCTGTTGAAGTGGGGAGCAAAAGGAGGTTGGACAAAGTTGATTAAGATCACACTCTGGGATGACCGCCTCCTGTACGGTTTCCAAGGCTGCGAGCAATCCTTGCGATCAATCAGTCTCCTCCACACGAAAGCAGAAAATGAGAATGCTCTCGTATCAATATGCTCGCGAACCATCAGACTCACGGAATTGAAGATAAAGACCGAAGAGTCTCGACTTCCATTCTCAGCCTTAATGATCTGCGGACCTTCGTTGGAAACGCTTGCGATCCATCCCCACCGAGACGCTTTAGACAATTGGATAAATATGCAAGATGTTCCGCTTTGTCTTCTACAGGCTATCCAACGCCTCTGTCCAGGGTTGACCAACTTGGCGTTGAACCTCCGTTGGCCTCCTGATAACCCGGCAAGTCTCCAGACCTAATATGTAATCTGAGCTCCTACTGACGATACTGAGTCACAGGATCATCTTTCCGCTCTCAGCCAGATCCCACAATTAGCAGAAATGACACTACATACTCAGAAACCCCAAGGTTATGAAAAACACAAGTCTTCCCTAGCAGCGGTCGAACATGCGTTTCGTCATGTGGTCGAACATGGTGGTAATGAGCAGAATCTCAGATCCCTCATGCTTTACGACGGCCCGCAAACCTCGGATTGGGACAATCCATGGGGCTTAGTGGAGCGCTCAAGCCGAGTTTTCAAAGCGACAAGGGGTACACATGGAGGAAACATGGATCAGAACATTTGTGCGAAGCAGATACAGGGCCCTTCAGAAACCGATCACGAACGATATCATCGCCAGCAAGAACGCGTGGAAGCCGAGAAAAAGACCAGAGACTATTTGGACGCCATGCCACCAGCAGTCCTCTCCCAGATGATCGACAACAATAGACGCCAGATACGAGGCACGACTTCCGACATCCAAGAGCAAATGTACGAGATCCAAACAGGTGGTTGGAATCATGAGCTCGCGGAGTATGAAGAGCGGTGGAAGAATTCCAGCGGGATTTTGCCCATGCTGGAATGGCAGTTGCAAACGCGCAAAAAGCAAGGATGGAAGTTGTGGGATATGCCACTCATGAGATCGGATGCTGGGAGCGAAGGTTTTCTGTACGACAGGATGATAGAGGCTAGTGCAGAACCTTAGGATTCGCAGTTTGGCAATGGACATGGTTGTATGATAGAACAGTATTTGCTAGAATGTATGCATGCGTTTCAGCCGACTGGAGATACCGCAGCTTTTGTGCTTCACTGGAACCGCAAGTCGCGGTAAACTCCTCGCTTCTTTCGTCAACAGGTGCGTGATCATTCACTCACTGGCCTTTGCCTTACGACTAACCTCACCTCATCATACCTACCTCTTTTCGACTTTACACCTTACGATCAATGTCTACACCAGTACCATGCCGCCTCGCTTTGATAAAAAGCTGACGCCAGATCTCTACGAGGTCTTTCTATCATACAAAAAAGCCACCACGGTGGTTGAGAGATGGCTAGCTGTCACTTCCGATAGAATCGATATCAAGGCCAGATCGATAATATCTGATATGCAACAAGCAGCAAGTTCCATCAAGGATAAGCGTATCAAGGTCCCCGATCTGATCTACTATGCCTTCGACAAGGCTATCGCGGCTCGCTCTGAGGTGACGAGTCACTTCAAAGGTTTCTTTGCCACAAAGACGGCTAATCCCAACAACTTGTCTCATGAACATTTCACCAAATGTGATCTTCTAGCTTCTTCGACAGATTTACGAGATGCATCGACATTTTGGTAGACTTAAATCCATCTTCAAGTCTCTGAGCTCCGACGGACTCTCATCCTCGAAGGCAAACGAGACGAATTCTTCAAGCACGCCAGGTTTGAATCCTTTCGAGACACTCAGTAATCTGCAAACCGAGAGCGAGTCACCCAGTGCAAGCGGAAACGAAGATAATGAGGCCTATGAGACACACCACGAGCACTCGAGAGATGGACGAGACGACGCAGGAGATGACGGCATTAAGAGTGATGCAGCTGTCCAGGATCTTAAGTTGTATTTTGTGCTTTGGGTTCGTTCCGCCTTTTTGAGGGAAGTGTCCGTCCAGACTGATCCGTTCTTCAGGATCTCGAAACGACTTGCTCAAAGGTCAGGAAATATTGGGCCGATGCTGCAGTAAGTGAGATGCCGTTCATGCTCGCGGCCTTCCTCACCAACGCTGCCATAGTGAGTGTGGCAACTCGCTTCCACTGTGGACGACGATTCTTCGATACGTGTGAAATAATCGGATACAAAGAGATACTCGATATAGTCGAGAATACAAGTCATCAACACTCGGCATACCTGGAACAGCGACGTTTTCGGATCCTGTTGCCATAAATACCTTCACACATCCTGTCATGGCCATCATTCTAGGCCAGCAGGGGATCGATGATCATATCATGCAGAGCAGTCGCGGCAAAGAATCATCGAGAGCTTGCAAGATTACATCATTCGCTCTAGAAGGACCTTGCGACAGCATCAAAAGAGTTGACGCGGAGACGAAAGTGTTCAAGTCCTTGTTAAAGAGTATGAAACAGCTCTCTTGCAAAGAGGAAGATTAACATGATTTTGTTACGGGTCTTTCTTTCATACGTAAGCCTAACCTACACGAACACGTTCGACCAATACCGACTAGCGCGACATTTGAGCTTCGATTGATCTTGTCCATACAAGAGCTGGTTAATCCTGCCTAGGGAGGGCGAAAAGTTTGCAACCCACATCGGACTGCGATTGCGAAGATTGCGTTGATCTGGTCTTATGGAGAGCCTGCGAATGTTTGAAAGCGACCTGTCTACATTCTCAAGCGAAAAGCGATTCGATTTTTATCATCAGTCACCAGTGGTTGCGGGCCATCAGCTGACAAGGATTCTTGCTATAGCTACCGATCTCTGAACTCGTTTTTGTAACCCCACGCAGTATTTTGGGGCCGCTCTACACCTATACAACTTCCTCAGACAACTTGACGTTATCGAGGATGAAAGTGTCCTGTTGGAGCATCTCTGCCAACACATCGGCCACAATATCTCTCGTGGCCCTCATACTACCTTTAGTTCCTTCTCCCAGTATGCAAATTTCAAGGAATGACCCTTGAATTCGATAAGAAAACGCGTACATTCAGGTTTGGGTTGCCCAAAGTTCTCCAAAAACGGCTTCATCCACACAGTCTCTCGGTAATGACTGGATTGAATGACTGCGGTTTTCGACCTTTTTGCCACCAGTGGGCGCCCGTGTGGCGGGGAGGTGGATAAGGGCAGCAGGGCTACCAGCGACGGAGTCATGAATACCGCGCGGCAAATTGCCGCTCATCCACTCGTCTGTGCGCTGGGAGCCTCTCGAATCCACGGTGCGCCCGGAATGGGAGGGCAAGTTCCCGGTGGTCAGAGTCAACTGATTTGAAATTTTCATGGCTTGCACTGAGATCCTCGAGGAGATGACGGCTGTTCACTGCGGTGGTCCGAAGGATATTGCAGCTGCCCATGTCCACGATATGGATGATGCCTTTATTGCGGAAGAAGGGTGTATCTCTTGAAACAATTATGTGACTTTTCTAATACTTGGCCAATGTCAATCTTGCAAAGCTATTGGAAACGGATCGTATATGATAAGCTGTTCTCATTAACGTTTTCTAGGGGGAAACTTTTCAGGGATTTCAGACTAGGGAGGCTACGAGACCTGGAAGCTGTCTCCTGTGTCCCATACGCGCTAGGGGCTTCAAGATAACAGTAGACGGCTTTTGTAGAAGTACTTTATAGAGGACAGCGCTTACGGCAGAAAGATGCCTAATGTTGCTTTATATTTTTGGTTTCCAATCACAATCAGACTGTCTAAATCCTAATATGGCTTTTCATTGAAGGTGGGCTTTCACTACAAGACAGGTACTAACGTTCCATTATTTAATCATGTCCATGCCTTGCATATGCGGCGGTGAAAGACCGTGGCAGGCTCGATTTGGTTAGGTAAGGTGGAGCCGATAGACTTAAAGGAGGTTTGCTGATTCATGCCCACTCAGCTTGACTATGAAGCATCTTAAAGTTCTTAGTTTTTTGCAGGCTTTTTTGATTTGCACCTACTTAGGCTACAATCCTAGCTGCTCAGCCTCATCCTCCTCAGCTCCCTTCCAGCATTCATATCACTAGCTATCATATCGTTCGGCGCATTTCATACCATTTATAAATCATCTTGCAGGATTACTGGCCAGTTGGAAAGACTTGATTGAATAGATATGAATTCGAGTCTGAGCTCTTGCGACCGGAACCCGCGTTTCCTTCTACGCGCACCTTCAGCGGCAAAATCTTCACGCAGCAACCGCGACTGAAATAACAGATCAGGCACAATGGCTGACCCTGTGAGCGTTGTTACCAGCATTGCTAGCTTAGTATCGCTGGCCACCCAGATCTCTTTAAATCTGAGAGCCTACGAGAGAGCGACCCTTTCCCAATCTTACGGAGGGACGGCCGGATTCTTCATCTCGACTTTCTTTGGGAGCACGGCATCCGAGTACGAGAGACTCCAGCGAGTCATACTTCGGGGTAGCGACGATGAAGCACTGCGTTTCCGAGACTCGGTAGCTAGCGAGTGCAACATGACTGCTGTCGCAGTAAGTGTCCCTCGTTGACCGTGCCCGGACCAATTTGGGGCTTTACAGATATCTCGTGGGCTGAGAACTTGATAGGGTGCAATTATCGCCCAAGTCGCTCTCACGGCGCTTTCTCTTACGGACCTAAGTCTAGCGCATTGGACCGCTCGTGCTTTCCTGCTTTTCGCGACAGTGGCTGGCTGCCTCTCGGTTTACTACGCATGTAGTCTCTCGAGAGATATTGGAAAAATATACCAGCCGGAGCTCATCCGCGACTGGCTCAGCGCAGCTCCTCAGAGTGGGTCAGAAGAGACAAGACCAGGAGAGAAAAAAGAAAAGAAAGCCTCGATATCCGCTATATTCATTCTATCCGCCCCATACACCATGATGTCGTATGCTATTTTGAGTTTCATTTTGGGTCTGGCCATCTATCAAGGCTTCGTATGGACAAGAAATCTGGATACAGATGCTGGCAAAATTAACAGCCGCAACATATTCATTGCTTACATCGTGAGCACTGGATATTGTCAACTTTTCTTCTCGTTCGCGGGCGTGATAAAAACTATTGAGGACCTGCTGCTTCAAGATCGATTCAGGACCAGGTTGCTCGGATCAGTCAAACACACCAGAGATCATGTCGCTCGTCACAGAGATGGCGAGGGGCCTCCTCAGCTAGAAGAAGGCGCATCGGCAAACAATGCAGCAGCGCCAATCGAAACCATTCATACAGCATCGCAATCTCAGAACACCGCTGATCGAAGCTCTTCTAGTGGCATTGTAGCTGCGCTAGAAGCAGCCGCAAAGGCGCATATCCTCAGCGCCGAAGCAGACCGTCATGTTGCCTCGGAATATGAAAAATTATCGAGGACTTGGTGAGATACGAGATTCGTCTCGTCCATTCACTGTCACTGTTCCGTCTAGCCAGCCTGAAGGCATGCGAAATAGCTTCGTTTCAAAGCCGTTGAGTTTCGGAGGTAGATCACTACGGTCTCCCAGTCGCAGCGGATATGGGAGTAATAGGACAGGCATGTCTGACTTGGGTAACTGTAGAAATGTCACAGGTAAGTAACACTTCTCTAATGACTACATCAGATCTTCACATCATACCACAATTCCCCCAGTCACTTCATAGACTTGTTTTCTGTCTCAGCATCGTATTGGGGCCCAAAAACCTCGACTGGTAGCTGCGAGCGAATGATAGCAACGGCTGACCGAGAGCTGTCCCACATCCTAGCCGATGTAAGGTTCTTACAAGACCTGTGTGAGTATTGATGTCCACGTTTCCCTCGTTTGACATGGCGAATAATAACGTTGAAAAGGCGGTACAATGTAAGTGCAGAAAGGCTGCTTGTCTGTACAAATGAATCAGAGGACATGGGAAGGTCCAGGTTGTGGGGTTAGGGAGATCTGTGCCTGCTTCTGGAAAAGGAGGTAGCAGTATCCCATATATCCAGACAGGTAATGAATTCCAGAGGCTGCCGACCAAACATCCTAAACCCGTTACATTCAATCCCGCACAGCTCAATAACAAAGTAACTTTATAGGGATCCTTTTTATACCACAATTTATTTTCTTGGGCAGATTTGAATTTCTGTAATAAAAATTTAGTGGTCAATCTTCTCAATCCAGAGTTATTCCGATGTAAAGCAACAGTCTATTGATGTTCTGCCAAGAGATGTTACTATCAGGATATGGGATACGCAGACTCAGTCGTGTGTGTGTGTGTGTGTTGTGGAAGACGCAGTCGATCAAGCGTCGCAAGTTAAGAGGATGGATGTTGAGGGGCTGAGTGCTATGCAAGACTAATGCAAGACACGGCCGAGGCTAGTGATGACGGCATTTGTATGAACGTTTACACGGGGCCCAGAACACTTTAAGATCGAACCTCTTGCAGCCTCAAAGAAATTCCCATCCAATCGATTAGTCCAGATTTCAGTATCTGGCAGTCGCTAAACTCATTTTGTGTACTCCGTACGATACCTCTTGTTGCAGCAAGCGTTGGCCTTGACATTGAGATGGGCCCAACAAAACTCTCGCTCCTTTCCTTGGAAGAGCTGGCGCAGTAGGCTGAAAAATGACACCTTTTGCGATTTGCAAGACACGCCAGTCTTAGGCTCATTAGCGGCGATAGGAGTAGCGTAAGATACAGGAGGCCGATGTTCCCTCGGCCCTGACGAGTTTTGGGAATATCAGTTCCTCGTTCGGTCTGAAAGGTTTCAGGTGTGATGCAAAGTGAATTGATCCGAGAACAGAAGCTTGGCTAGGTTCGCTGACGAAGTTAAGCTGCATCGTGGACGCAAAGATAACCCCGAAACTTATGTTGGTGACAGCCTCTCTGCGGCATGATTACCTTGCCTGGCTAGCCGGGCGCGACCGTCACTGGCTACCCTTTTCTTCTCGTTCTGATGCGCGCCAGTCGGACATCTTGCTGAGACTGCGGCTGCAGGCTCTTGAAAATCTTTTCAGCTCCTTCCGACTGCAGCAGAAACGATACAGTCAAATATCAACTTCACGCTTATGTCTGCAGGTTCACGGAGAAGATTCGCACAATGGATAAGCATATTCACTAGGTCCAGCAATGTCAGCCTCGTACGCTCGCCGGATTCCAGAGCGGTCCAGACGGAATGATGGCTCTAGTGCAACCAAGCAAGCAACAATAACATGAGTCACGTCTCCTGGAATATTTCTACACGTGCAGTGCGAATATTAGACAGCAACTTCCACTCGACCTGGGGAAGCACGATCTGGTAAATGCCACTGGCTTCTAAAAATACTTTCTGCTGTTTACCATCGGTTCCGTGCAGCCTAGAGTATTCTCTCAGTTTGCCACGTCACAAAGCCACGACTGTCATGTCTTCGATCGAGGATTATCCTTTCTTGCCTCCTCCGCCAGGACAGATGTCAAACTTCGAGAATCCTGAGACCCGGGCGCCCGCCATCATCATCATCTGTTCAACATGTATTGCGCTGATGTGGCCAATCTTCTTGCTGAGAATCTACGCAAAGGTGTGGATAAGCCACGCTTTCGGATGGGATGATGGTCAGTCTACTGGTCCCCGCGGATGGATATTTGCTAAGATCTAGTGGCAGCGTCTTCCATGCTTGCTATTGTGAGCGTTATTCTTTTCGTGTCGCTGTGATTAAGCTAAAGATGATAAGACAGGTGCGACGTCGTATGCCGCATGTGTGATATGGGGTACGCGTCCCGATCTCATTCCAAGCCCGTCAAGATTAAGAGACATCTAGGAATGAAGACCCTCGGCCCACATGGCTGGGACGTACGAGCCATAGCATTCACGCCGCATTATGTTGAGGTAAATCATTCATCGGTTTAGTGAAAATGTTCTGACAAGGAACCAAAATGTCAGATTGAAATTGTAGTCTATGGAGTTGTCTACAACTTCCTGTTTTCTTTGCTAAACTAGCTCTCTTTTCTCTACTTCCGCCTATTTTCGTGCAACCGCGGAACAAAGATTACGATTTATCTTTGGAATCGGCATGAATTTCCTCTTCTACACCGCAACCGCTACCGTTTTTATCGCCTACTGTATCCCCAGGCCCGGCGAGAACTGGCCGTCGATTACTAGCCTTGAGCGCTGCCAGAAATCAGAGAGCATTGCCTATGTCCAGGGTCCTTTCGGTGTCCTCTCCGACATATATATCTTCATCCTGCCGCTGCCAGTCCTATGGCGTTTGCAAATGACCTTAAGGAAAAAGCTTGGGGTCAGCAGTATCTTCCTGGTAGGCTTCATGTATGTACACTTCAAACCTGTCAGCACGATCGATCCCATTTCGATCATTGCATTTACTTACCAAACTCCAAATTGGTCCAGAGCGATTCTCGCCAGTATATTAGCAGGCATGTACTATCGCGTCGTCGAAGCTAGAAGCTCCGATCTGACTTGGCGGCTACCACCAACTATCGGCTTAGCGTAAGCATTCCATCACTAATCTCCCAGCTCAGGCGCGTTCGACCTCGACTCGAGAATACGCTTACCGCTCCTACTGCAGGACCGTCGAGATCAGCCTCGGTGTGATCTGTAGCTCAGTCCCTCATCTCCCTTGCCTGTTTCGACAACACAAAGTCGACTTTTCCCACATAACCTCTCTTACCCACTCGCTGTTGCACATCTTCAAACCGAGGTCGAAGGAGGGTTCGGATTTACCTCTCCATGATTTTAATCGGGTCAATTCGAACACGTCCGTGCCACAGAAGGCGAAAGTCGAAACGCGTGTATTGGGGTCCATAAAAGGGCATGTATAAGTCCAAGTGCATAGTACTCATCTTCTCATGACACTGTGACTTCCGTCTGCGGGCATCGGCTAATATGGTGGCAGAGACGGAAAGTTCCTCAAATCGGGGACGTTCTCAGGAGCATTGGGGAAACGATCTTCGATGGACCCGTCGAGGAGCAACGACCGAGTCTCTGAACATGACAGGTGGTGAGCGGAAGAGGGGAGAATAGATCAATCGTGGCATTGATTGCAGACAGAGGCTCTGAGTCATGACACGAATCAGACGATCATGATGAGAGCCTGTCAAAAAGCGGACTGAAGTGTTGCTTCATGCATTGCAACATCTAGTATTGACCTTCTTCTTTCTTTTTAGTGCAATTTCAGGTCTTTCGTATTACACAATGCTTCTAGCCTCAATCAGTGCAACAAACCCTCTTCTCAGAAATCAATGCGCTCTTCTCAGCTCTTGCAGGGTTTCAATTCCCACATCAATTTCATTGCTGTCAGACAGGCCTTGGACGAAGACTTCTCGGCAATACATCGAGAAGGAGATGATAGTATGCAAACGTCGAACGGCACATTCCGTCCTGTTTCCCTCCAGCGGAGCCATTCCGGCCGATCCAATCTGCACGAGAAGTAACCAAAGCTCACAGCCTCCGGTCGAAACGCAATCATCGGTGGATAGATTCCATTCCAGCTTTTGACAGCCGATCGAGCTTATAGATCGAAAGCCGCTAGTCCGGAAGTCACGATATTGATCTTTCCAACGCAAGTGCCCGTGCTCAACGTGCCGTCATCGGAGAAACATCAAAGAAATTGTGCTCATAACCAAGACCTTTGCTCGGCGAGCGAAACTCAGAAAATATTTCAAACAGGGCGTGAAGCCTACGTCTCCGTAAGCTCTTAGACCGGTGGTGTGCTAGGCGGGCAACCCTACTGAGGTATATGCCTCTAGGGCTGCGAGGGGGAGAGAATGTCATATGACCTAAATGGTCTTACGTAGGTATCCGAACATTCGGAGTACTTCTCATTTCGATGGGACAAAAGGGGCGCGTTGGGTCGTGGGGAAGATCATGGCTCGTGGGAAGGATTGTAGATTTGTGTGTTAGTTGAATTATGGGACTTCGTTGACCCTGATGTATCTGCGTTCCTTTCCCCTCCTATCATTAATGGGAAATTTCTCGTTTCAGATAGCTGTCCGCTACAGGTATATGCAAGTTAAGGCTTCAATGTATGTAATCCGTGATGTGGATTCTTGTCTCATGATTGGTTCTTCTCCATTTGCTATGCCGCATCCTTCATAGCCATAGTGGTGTGTGGCGTTGGCACTGGTGTGTATTACCCGGCATGCAAGGAGGTGCGTTTTTTTCGAGCCGCAGGGTCACATGACGCCAAGCCCTGGCGCGTTTGATCATGGTCGCTCGAGGGGCTCTGGAGCACACACAATTCATACAACCAAGTACCCTACCTCATGTTTCAACAGACTGCTCAACAATGGTAAAGAATCGAAGATCAAGAAGGCAAGCCGGTTTGGGATAAGCCTGTTGCTGTTGACGAAAAGTGGATTGAATCCGTCGATGACAATGTCTCAGCAAGTGAGCCGCTTAATAAAGATGAATTGATGATTGAAGTAGCTGAAACTAGTAGAGTTGCCACCAGGCTCCAAGATCAAAGACATCGCCTCTTTCGGGTTCAGCTACTGGACACGTACAGCCAAGATCTCAACCGTGCAAGCTGACGGTTCGGATTTATTTTTCTTTCTGAAGGTCACGCAGAATAACACCGGCAAAGCCATGGTCGACGGCGAGTTCGTTTCAATGTTATCGCTTTACAAGGCGCTCCCGTACATCGTCCCCCACCCCTATGCTTCAGGAACTTACGCTTCCGACCCCAACATTCACTTCTTCCTCTGCGGCTTTGTAGACATGGACGAAGACCTTCCTGACGTTCAGAAATTGGTGCACGGTCTGGCAGAACTGCACATGAACGGCGTAAACCCGGTCGGTAAATATGGCTTTCATGTGCCAACTCTTCAAGGCACGATACCTCAGTACACTGAGTGGACTCAGACGTGGGAAGAGTTCTTTTCTCATTCCATCAGACGCGTCTTTGAGAACGAAGAGAAGTCGCAGGGGTATGACGAGGAAGTGCATGAACTGTGTAGGTTGACTCTTGAGAAAGTGGTGCCTCGATTGCTTCGGCCATTGGAGACTGGCGGTAGGATGATCAAGCCGAGATTGGTCCATGGTGATATTTGGGACGGCAACGTCTCCACAGACCTAAACTCGAACACACCTGTGATTTATGATGCTACCTGCATATATGCTCACAATGAAAGTATGTGAATGACACTCCGATGTTTCGACCGCACTGACGAAGTAGTCGAACTTGCGCCTTTGCGACCAATCCGCCATAAGATGGGAAAGCAATACGTGAAAGCCTATTTCGAACACTTCCAAATGTCAGACCCAGAAGAAGACCAGGACGATCGGAATGCTTTGTACTGCCTGTAAGTGAAAATTGCAGCTCTTATCGGCAGCTATCGCTAAAGACGTACGTCCAGTCGCTGGGATATGAATTGCTCAACATTGTACCCCGGCAATCTTCGATACAGAAAGATGTGAGGGCTCCAGCATCTCGGGGTCTTTGGCACTTTGGAGCTGACAGTGCAAATAGGTGCACCGATGTGATGCGCTACTTCGTCGATAAATTTCCGAACGGTTATGAGGGCTGGGCGAAGGAGAGAGGGAAAAGCCGGTTACCAGAGACTATCTGAAGCCTTTCTAGAGATGGGCGAAATATCAAAGATTTCCGGTCGCTCGCGGGAGTCTTCGGAGCTTGCGAACGAACGTGGGATATGCGCCTTGACGTGCAGCTTAAGGAATCGGCACGGGTCTAGCATCGTTGCTTCTCACAGATTTTTCGTCGCGAAGCAGACAGCTCGCGGTCTCTAGGAAGACATAATAGACTTATTTCCTCAATTAGAAGTAGGTTGAGATGACATTGCAGGAACTTGTTCTGACAGTGGGAGCCTCCTCAATTGCGGGCATCAATATAGGACCAGATTTGTGGGAGCTTGCTTGAAGGTCAGGCCCAACGCTGAATCCAGAACCCCGGCCTTAAATGATATTCAGAGACCCATATTGGTCCAATCTGTTTCGCTAGCTGCTCTGATTCGTTCTTTGACCGGAAAGGGAAGGCTGAAGGACAAGGCGCAAAGTCTCAAAAGCCTGGTATCTTCTAAGATACCTCTTCCCACGTCGGTAGGGTTTGATCAATGATATTGAAGGCGTATCACTATTGGTGGCAGAAGCGAGGTTTAACATCTTCAACATTTCCTTGGAGGGATTGTAAGCTGGATCGAAAACGAGCAGGCTGCGGGAGCCATTTTTCCGCTTTTCAATACCGACGACGGTCATTGAGTGACGGGGCCGTTGGAGATAAATGGGAGGGAGTTCGGTGTTCTGGACTCTGGGAGACGTCCTCAGGTGTGAAGTGGTGATTGAGTTGGAGAAATAGTACTCCACGGAATCGAGCAATTGCTCGTAGGCCTTGGCGCCACCTTTGATGTCCTGGAATCTGTCCGCTTTACAAGGGATCTTCAAGCTACCAAATAGTGCTTGGGCCTGTAAGTATGTCAATGACTTGTTCACTCTGTGTCATTCGCTACCGACAGCGGTTCAAAGATGGCGTAAGAGTGCCCCCCAGCAGCATGGGTTGAAAAAAAAGTGTTGCGCATACCTCTGGCGTCCCAATGTGTTTTCGAGTGCCCTTGATCCCGCCCGTCTGCAGCCGGCCAGACTCATTGAAACCGTGATCCCAAGCCTCCTCGATAATATTTTGTATCTCCCAGATGGTGGGAATACCATTAGCAAAGTTTTCAGAACCTTGCACCTCTGCGGCATTGATGTAGCTGACGAGCATTTGGATATTGTGATAACCACAGAAATTGTTACCCTCATTTTTACCCTTGACTTTGATCTTCCCAACATAACGTACAGCAAAATGGCAGATGTACGCTGTCTCGACGTCTCGGTCTTGGTCGATTAGCTTGCCAAGAACATCTGAAATTCCGGATGGCGCATCTTCTAGATGCTGCTTTCCCTCATCCTCAAGCAAGCAGTATAGCCAGTCAGGCATTTTGTTCTCGTAGGCATAGCGCCCGAGATCACGCTTCTGTATGCCCATTTAGCTTCGCGGCTTGAAAATCCAGACTTCCATTCAACGGAACGCTATCGATGAAAGGTTGGACGTGCAGCAGCGATGCGCTGAGGAGGATAGAGAACGGGTATCCAGGAGGGAGACTTACACCAAGACGGCCGCCGTTCTCGGCATCATTGCGCTTGCCCGATACAATGCTGAAACAACCCCCAACAAGTCCTGAAAATGTTCGATCAGGAGCGGCAGGTGGCATTCTCTCTTTTTCTTTCTCGGATAGGAAGCAATGCAGGCCCGTCCGATCCAATTCCGATATCAATGGGCTTCACTTTTGGCACATATTCTCGGCGCTCTAGACGGAAGGATTGAATGCTGATAAATGAGAGATATCGCCGACGGTATTCTCAGGCGAAGGGCCCTGTGTGTTGGTTTGGGGTGAACAGGGTAGGGAGTCAAGGGGGCGGTGACAGGGCGATGAATCAGCAGAGTTTTGGTTTAGTACGGGCCGTACCTCACCCGGCTTAGCGCGCCGACCCTATTAAGTTCCCAGTTATCCGATAAACGCCGACGCCGAGACAACAAATTTAACCGAGATTTTTCCCCCCATTTAAAAAATTTTTTTTTTTTTTTATTAAAAAAACCCCCACCCAAAAAAAAAAAAAATTCTAAATTACTTCCCCCCCCCCCTTTAAAAAAAAAAAAAAAAAAAAACCCCCAAAAAAAAAAAAAAAAAATCCACGAAAACCAGTGAGAGACAGGCATTTCTTGAAAAACGTGACAATCTTCTCCAGCGTATTCCACCACTTTCAGAGTATCAACCAATGGTAATTAAGTATCGGGCAGCTGTCAGTCATCTTCCAAGTAACCTGTTTCTTACTCCACATACTGTATTTAGCCTTATATAAACTACTATTTGTTGGAATTGTTGGAATTCTTGGCCCCCAAGCTTCCCAGCCTTCCCAGCCACCTTGTTGGACCAGCCACCTGAATTTGTCCTGTACATAGAACCCCGTCCCAGAGTGCTTCTGGAGAAATCAATCCATCCTTCTTGAATATTTCAACAGGTTATGAGCCCGGTTCCGACGCTTTTATAACGTTGCTATATACATCATCGTCATCACACACCTTCATGAACCCTAGCCCTAATCCCTATCAATTTCAAGCACCTACAGCATCAGCACCAGCATCAATCATGGCCCAACGAGTTGCCTTGGATCTATCCTTCAAGTCACCCATTCGTCAACTCACTGAGACAAACTACTCGGAGTGGCTCATTGACGTGCGTGCCTTGTTACGTAAACAAAAGTTATGGAAGTATACCCAAGAGACCCCTCCCGGGACATTGACCGTTACAGCCCTGGCCAAATGGAAGGATTCTTCTAAAGAGGCTGCTGATGCGATGACACCCACTATCAGTGGCCCTGTCAAGCAACGACTTGCAGCTGATGAGTTCAATTGTGGCTTCAAAATGATGTCCCACCTCGCGGATCTCTACCGTCCCACCGGGGATAACGAATTCATGCGCCTCACCGCACAATACTACACTATCAAATACAACAAATTCGACTCCGTGACCGACTATATCACTCATATCAAGTTACTCGAAGAGCGCATTGCAGCCACCAACGTCAAACTTACGCCCGATAAACAAACGATCCTTTGCCTATCGATGTCCCTTCCCGATCATCTCCAATACTTAACCAAAATCTGGGCTGTTACCCCCGATATGACGGCTCACAAAGCGGTAAATATACTCCTGGAAGAGGAGAGAAAGGGGGAAAAGCCGAAGCTTACGGAGGCGGAGGAGATAGCCAGTATATTTACGAATGCGGGGGTTATAAGTGGGAGTGATAATCGAAAGAGTTACAAGACGTGTGGCAAGATGCATAGACCAGTGTGTTACACCGAGCATCCGGAATTGGCTCCAGAGTGGTATCACGAGATGACAAGAGGTACGAAGCGGAAGCGCACCGAGAACGAGGCCACTGCGGCGATTGCGTTTTCTTTTTGAACACCAGACGGTGTGGAGCCTGGAGGCTTGTGAATATCAGACGGTGTGAACACCAGGACGGTGTGGAGCCTGGAGGGCTTGCGAACACCAGACGGTGTGAACACCAGGACGGTGTGGGGCCTGGAGGGCCTGTGACGCTGCAGGGGCGATGAGATGTTTGTATAGTTACATGTTTTTTGTTGATGGGCTGGTACGCTTGGCTGCAGGGGCGTGTTGGAATTGTTGGAATTCTTGGCCCCCAAGCTTCCCAGCCTTCCCAGCCACCTTGTTGGACCAGCCACCTGAATTTGTCCTGTACATAGAACCCCGTCCCAGAGTGCTTCTGGAGAAATCAATCCATCCTTCTTGAATATTTCAACACTATTATCTAAGAAATACTTCGAGATAATATCAATTTATATACCTCTACTTAAAGTTCTCGCGATTCTTATTGATACTCTATAACTATATCAGAGCTGAAAATCTTCGTCGCTATTATAATCTATATAGAAATCTTTTACTTTTCTACTATTTATAACTATTAGAGAACTAATAAAATTACATCTATAGCTTTAATAATTATAAAGAAAATAGCTCGAAACCGCTATATTCTTCTTCGAAAGTATATATATTATTCAAATCTTACTTAAGAGAATCTTACGACTATTAAAATAGGTCGATAAAAGCAGCCGGTGTGGTATAAGAAACTTCTTTCATTTATCAGCGAGATTCGAAAGAATTAGAGTCTTCTTAGAACCTCGAGTTCTTATATAGCGATTAATAAATATATGATTAAGAAGATAGGGCGTATATCTTATTCTACTATAGCTTTAGATAAGTCAATTAAGAAGGAATATAAGCTCTTTATAATTAATGATAAGAGCTATATCTATAATTACGCATAATATTCCCCGATATAAAAACTAGAAGATAGGTTAAAAATTAAAGGACTTAAAGAAACATTAGCTATGATATTCAAATTAGCTACGAATACCCTCTCAAAGAATACTATTCTCTTTATAAATAACTATTTCACTTGTCTGAAGCTGGCTATAACTCTAAGAGATAGGAGAATTACGATATATAGAACTATAAAGCCTACTCGACGAGATCTTCTAAAATTACTTATAGAGATGAAATAGATATTTACTAAGGATATTCCCTACGGAGTTCTTACTATAATAGTTTAGAATAATATTCTTATAATAGCCTGACAAGATAACAATCTCGTTTTAGGACTTACTATTAAATATAGTATTCGAGAGATTAATAACTATATCTTTAAAAAAGAAAACGTCCTAGCAAAACCAATACAAATACTCGTATTACTTTACCTGCTTTCAAGGAGAATAAAAAGAATATCTAGAAGAAGGAATTTAAGGTTTCTAAGCTTTTCTACTATTATAACAAGTATATAGAAAAGATAGATCGATTCAATACTCTAGTGACTATATATACTTTTCAGCGAGCCTATAATCGTAATTAGATACCCTTATTCCACTGGTATTTAAATGGAAGTCTCATAAATGCTTTCAAGCTCTATAAACCAATGGGAGCCACTTAAGAGCATTAGAAATTCCTCAAAAGTATAATAATAGAGTTATTAAAAGAAGGAGATATCTATCGAGTAAGGCTAAATCTCACCTCTATCTCTATACTATTAAAGGCACTACGAGGTAATTATAATTAATAAGACTTAAAGGCTATTTAGGCGTATCTTATATATCGTAAAAACATTTAAAATCGAGGTTTTAGACGAGAGATTAGTGGGAATAGAGGTAATACTTTCAAGATACGCGGGGGATATAAAGTATATTAGATCTTTTTATATCACAAAGAGAATTACGTAAGACGATTTCATGAAAGAAATAATATATTAAACTCTATATAATAGATCTAGACTATATTTATTAAATTATATAAATATAATAAGATAGTAATCGAAATAATAGTACGGAGAAAATAATTTATTATCTCTCGGCGTTTAACGAATACTCTTAGCGCTAAGAGGAGATATTTTCTATTCTTAGATTAGTATAATATATATTTAAGAGTATCGCTTATAGAGTATAAACTAGTTATAAAGATTAAAATAACTTTTCTTTAATAATTTAATTAAATATCTTAATTATATAATAAGTAACGAGTAAAGATATATAAATTAAATTTATAATTTTTTTTTAATTAGGCCTATCGAGTAAATTTAATAAGCGATCTTTAAGGAGCGATCTTTAATAAGCGATCTTTAATGAGCGATATTTAAGTACCTTGCTTTTTAATAATTATAAGATTAAATTTTAATAATTTTAAAGCATTTAAAAGCGCAATCTACGCTCTACAATTTGAAAAAAAATCTTAAAAATTTAATAGAAAATAAAAAAGTTATTCTATTTGTGAATAACGTATATCTATTTTTTTAATAGTTGATAATTACGGACGCTAATTTATTTACTCGCGAGACCGCGATAATTTAATTAATTTAATTAAAGAGCGTAGTAACTCTAAATTTATAATTAATTATATATATAAATTCAAGATTTTTAAGCTTAACTCTATCTTATTCTATTATATATATTAATAATATTTAATTTTTATTCTTTTATTAAATACAAGTAAAGGCCCATGAATTAAATTCATGGAGTTGGATTTTTCTAAGTTGAATCGAATTTTGGCCCTAGCCCTAAGTCAAATCGAACTCTGATCGCTTGCTGTGCGTTTTTGACCTATATACAGGCACATATGTGCGGAGAGAGGCGCGCTAAGGCCTAATTAGGAAGGTATATCGAGTGTAGAGAATTAATTGTCCTTATGGCAAGAAGTATCGAAATACCGGAAAGAAATGGAGACAACATGCCAATCAGTGGTGTGAATCCCACATTATCTCCTGCCGCAGTGAAATCTTTCGAATAATGAAATAGCTGTCAGAGCAAGATATCGGACGGTTTCAATTCGTCCAAATATGTATCGTCCGATGTTCCTCCTGCAGAGGCCCAATTGGCTGTGATCGTCGCAGTAGATCTTTCTCTTGTGACGTTATTGTAGTGATATACCATATTAATGTAGTGGGGATGACAGGCCAAGTTGCAGTGGTGTTCTCCGCTTGCTGAGTGATGATTTGATGTGGAACCGTGGAGAGCATGTGACGTGGGATCTTGGAGAGCTGAGCCGTGTTCTTGACGATGGTGGCCTTGTTGCCGCTTGATTTCTCCGCAGTGTTCTCCGCAGTGTTCTCCGCAGTGTTCTCCGCAGTGTTCTCCGTAGTGTTCTCCGCATTTGCCTGTTGTAGTTCCTCCTCTTGCTCCTCAATGTAGTGGGGATGACAGGCCAAGTTGCAGTGGTGTTCTCCGCTTGCTGAGTGATGATTTGATGTGGAACCGTGGAGAGCATATGACGTGGGATCTTGGAGAGCTGAGCCGTGTTCTTGACGATGGTGGCCTTGTTGCCGCTTGGTTTCTCCGTAGTGTTCTCCGCAGTGTTCTCCGCATTTGCCTGTTGTAGTTCCTCCTCTTGCTCCTCCTCTTGTAGGGAGAGTATCAGACTGAGTGGCTAGCTGAGTGGCTGACTGAGTGGATGACTGATATGACGTGGGATCTTGGAGAGCTGAGCCGTGTTTTTGACGATGGTGGCCTTGTTGCCGCTTGGTTTCTCCGCAGTGTTCTCCGCATTTGCCTGTTGTAGTTCCTCCTCTTGCTCCTCCTCTTGTAGGGAGAGTATCAGACTGAGTGGCTAGCTGAGTGGCTGACTGAGTGGATGACTGATATGACGTGGGATCTTGGAGAGCTGAGCCGTGTTCTTGACGATGGTGGCCTTGTTGCCGCTTGGTTTCTCCGCAGTGTTCTCCGCATTTGCCTGTTGTAGTTCCTCCTCTTACTCCTTAATGCAGTGGGGATGATAGGCTAAGGGCCCCTTTGGCAACCAAAATCTACATTTTGATTTTCGTTAGTCAAATACTAGCTTTACGGCCTGAATACGTGCATTGAAATATTATGCAACCTTGGCGCCAAGATCAAAATCTATTTCAGCCTTAAGGGCAAAAAAGCACATTTGTTTGCAAACCGACTCCGACCCTAGTTTTTTAAAAAATGTGCGCTAAATCAAAGCGATGTCTACGTGAATTATTAAAGAAAATAACTAATATTGAAATTAAAAGCGATTTAAATTTTGCGCAATTAATATAGAAGTATAAATACGTTATTCTCTTTAATATGCACTTTTAGATTTATATTGAAAATTATTATGATGTTATTCGAAAATAGTACGGGCTGTCCGGGGCTTAAGGGGGGCATTTTCGTTACGAACCTTGAATTCTTGGCACGTATAATACCTGTGCTCGAAAAGAAAGTTGGTATTTTGACCTGAAATTCTTGAAAATGTGGGCTTGAATGTGGTTGCCAAAGGGGCCCTAAGTTGCAGTGGTGTTCTCCGCTTGCTGAGTGATGATTTGATGTGGAACCGTGGAGAGCATATGACGTGGGATCTTGGAGAGCTGAGCCGTGTTTTTGACGATGGTGGCCTTGTTGCCGCTTGGTTTCTCCGCAGTGTTCTCCGCATTTGCCTGTTGTAGATCCTCCTCTTGTTCAACTGAGTGCGAGGGTACCGAGGGTAAATGTGTTCATATTGGTGGAATTGGTAGAATTGGTAGAATTGGTAGAATTGGTAGAATTGGTAGAATGGTGGAAGAAGAATGGTTACACAAATAGGTGGAAGGATTATTATCCGATCCCGGACGCGTTTGGTGTGACTACAATATTCGAATGTTAGTTTAACCCACCTATCGCTGGCTTGGGAGGAGTATGTAGGGGAGGACGTATCCGTTCGGGCTCTTTTTGAGGGCCTTCCAACGCGTTTATGAGCAGTAGTAGGTAGCTGTTGGGCTCGCTTGCGGCCTCGATTGCCAGCAGTAGCGGATTCGCCGAGGGGTGGCCTGGGGGCGTCAGTAAGGGGCTCTAATTGGATTGGGCGAGGGGTACCGAAGACGATTGTGTTCATATTGGTGGAATTGGTAGAATTGGTAGAATGGTGGAAGAATAACAAACAGGTGGAAGGATTATTATTATCCGATCCCGGACGCGTCTGGTGTGACTACCATGACTACCATATTTGAATATCCATTTCATCCACCAATAGTAGGCTAAACTTCATTATTTTTACAGCGTTAGAAAGCGCAAACTGAGCTCTATAATTTACGAAATTATGAAGAAATAGTATCCGTAGGGAGCTGGTTATTTCAGAGTGTAAAACTTCTATACACAAATTTTTGATAAGGGAGACGCGGGAGGGCTATCGGGCTGACTCAGCCGGTCTAACCAAAAAAGCGTACAGGACCCGAATTTATGATTGGCTGCACATACAAATTCAAGGTTTTTAAGCTCAGCCCTACCTTATTCTATTATATATACTAATTAGAATAATATATACTAAGACGTAAGCTTTCTAATAGTAAAAAGCTTATTAAATACTAGTTTTTAATTATATTTAATTCTTAGAGAGATTCTTTAAAATCTCTCGAACTTTTTAAAAACTCTTTAAGAGTTTTTTAAGAGTTTATATCGAAGAAGCTATTAAAGTAAGTTTAAAATTTAATTATTTTAATAATATTTAATTAATTTTAAATTAACTTTAATAGCCTAATTAATATAAATTCTCGAAGAGTCTTTAAAGAGCTTTAAAGTTTTTAAAGAATTTTAAAGAGTTTAAGTTTAAGAATTAAGAGAGACGTTATAATATACTTAAAGAAAGATGCTTTTAAAAATTTCTAACCCTTCGAAGGCTTTTCAAAAGCTCTTCGAGAGCTTTTTCTAAAGAGACTCTTCTAATAAGATAAGATAATATTTATTCTACTAATAATATATTAATTATAATTTTTATAAAGTATATATCTAATAACGATTATATAGAGATTAAGAAATAAACTTTAATTAGAGATCTTAGTATTAATAGCGACATCGATCTTAGCGACGCTAAAGAATTAATCTTTAGAGTATAAAATAATAAGAATATAAATATACGATAAATCTCGTTTTTAAAATTTAATAATATAGGTATAGGCCGAAACTCGACTTATTACTCGCAAAGTCAGTTAGAGTTAAAACTAATCGATATTTTAATCGACTATACTTCGCCCTTATAGAGGTGAAAAAAAAATTAAATAATATCGTAGAGTTAATTAATAGAAATTACGACGTATAATAGATTAAATTATATTAGAAGTACTCTTAAAGACTATAATCTATATTAATCGTCTAACTAATATATCGCTTAAGAGATTATTCTATTAGATAGAATAGAGAAAGACTATTATACTATAATAGAGGGTAAGAAGAATAAAAGTATATCTAATATCTTTCCCTTTATAATATTATTTATAAGAATCTTTAGCTTTAGTCTAAATACTTTAATAATTAGATTAAGTTAATTAATAGCGCGTTTATTAAATAAAAGATTTTCGATAATCTTAATTTATTTTAAGTTATAGATAAAAGTCGTAAAGAGATTTAATTAATCGAACTTAATAAATAGAGTAATAGTATTCTAATAGAGTTATTTTATAAATTATAGATCTTCTTAATAGAAGAAAGAAAGAATAATACGTTATTTATTAGCTTAATTATTTATAATAACTTTATTAATATTAGAAATACTATATAAGAAGTATATATATACTTCTAGAAAGGAGTTTTACGAAGAAGAGAAAGATATAACTTAGTTCTAATTAAGATTAATTGATTAATTAAGCTAAAGCTATAAACGTTCTCGAAGAAAGAAAAGAAAGCGATATACTAAGTTACGCTAGTAAGGTTTCTCAAAGAAAGAAAAGAAAGCGATATACTATATCGGGAATATAATAGTTACTCTCCCTCGTGAAAAGCTATATCGTTCTTAGACTTTTTCTTATCTTATAAAAATCTAGATGTAAAAGTATAGACTAGATGTGAAAGTATAGGAGAGAAGATATGCGGGTTTTAAAGGAAGGTATATACTTTTCTTAAGAGATGTAAGAGTATTGAGATAAGGTCTAGCCGAATCTAGAGAAAGAAAAATATATCGAATCTAGCTTTTTCTTATCTCGTGAAGATTTAGACGTAAAGGTATAGGGTTTTTTTCTCGAACGAAACTAAGATATCTTATAAAGGTCTAGACGTAAAGGTGTAGAAGAGAAGATATACGTATTTTACTTCTCGTGAAAGGGAAAGCGTAAAAGTATTCGACGTAAGGGTATTTTAGTAGTTTCTTATCTCGTAAAGATCTAGATGTAAAGATATATAATTAGCGCTATTATATCCCAGTCGTAATATTAAAAACGAAACCTTTCTTTTACTCTTCGAACTCTGCGAAAAGATTTTTATCGTTATCGTGAACGAATACGAAGGTAGCTAGATCTAGATATTTCTTAGCGAAGACCTCTTATATAGTATTTAAGATATTAAGAATCTTATCTAATAATAACTTATTAATATTCTAGTATTCCTTAATACTCTCGATATTAGTCTTTTTATTTTTAACTTACTTATAATCTTAGTTTAGAAAAGATAAAAGTTTCGTAGCGTCTCTAATAAGTTTTATTACGCTTTTATACTATACTAAGAATAAAGTAATTATTCTATAAATTCTTTTCGTCGCGATTAAAAGTGCTATTAGCTTTTTTTATATTTTTAAAAGAGTATTCTTTAGTAAGTTAATCTTTTTTTTTATATATACGTAATTATTATAAGTATCTACCTTCTTAACTTTTAACTCTAAATTTAAATTCTTAAAGATAAATAACTAATAAATCAATTTCTTCTTAATTATTATCTTATTACTTACTTTCTTAGATTTTAACTTCTTAGAATCCGACTTCTTAACTATCTTTTTTAAGAATTTAGCTTTAATTATAATATTTTTTATTATAGATCTAATCTTATAGATAGCCTTATTCTTTTTAAGTTATTTCGTATTAGCGTTTAACGATAATATCGTTTATTTCTTAATCTTTAGTAAAGTATTCTTAGACTTTTTTAAGGAATCTATCTTCTTTATAGTAACTTTCTTTATCTTCTCGAAGTTATATTTAGAGTTTTAAATAAAGTAGAGATATTCTTAATAGAGATTATAATTATTATACTTCGTAATATTAGTATAATCGCTAATATCTTAAGAATAATCTTATTCTTTCTCTTTATCTCTATATAACTATTAAATCTTAAATATAACCTTATAATATTACTTAGTTCTATTATTATCTTTTATATTTATCTTTATTAATTAACTTTTTATAATATAATTCTAGTATAGATATTTACTCGCGAATATCTAAGACTAATATTAATATCGCTAAGATCTAATAAAGCTTCGTATTTTTATTATCTTAGCGATCTAAGTATTTAAAAGATTTATATAGCGAGAAGAAGAATTAATATCTTTAGATATTTTTTTAATAGAAATAGTTTTATTCTAGTAATAGTCTTTATTCTTAGATAGACTCTTTATTTAATATAAAATTAATTTAGATTTTAAAATAAAAGATATTCTTAAGTAACGAGCTACGGAATTAAGAAAGTTATTTAAATTTTCGTGATAAAGATTTAATAGATATATGAAAAAGTCTCGCTATAAATAGAGATAATAAGAATTCTAATTATAAAATATATTTATTCGTTTAAATTTATTTTTAAGTTTATAAAAGTAATTTAGATAAATTTAAAAAGAATAATTAAGAATATATTATAGTAAGCTTTTATAATGCTATTATTTTAAGAGTAAATCTTCTTTTACTTCGAGTTAAATATAATCGATTATTTTATAAAGATTTATAATACTCGATTAAAAGAATTTAAATTATTTAAATATATATTCGATTTAACTTTAGAGAATTAATTTTAAGATTTTAAAATTCGCTATTTCTATTTCTTTAAATCTCGAATAAGATTATTAAAGCTTTGCTTTCTTAGCGATAACTTCTAAATCGTTAGAATTATAAGAAATCTTTTCTCGAGAAGTAGAGTTATATTTAATTATAAAGTATTAAAAGAAAATATAATAAGATAAAGAAAAGAAATAAGGGGCTGGTTAAGTTACTTTACTTCGCGATTATAAGTTATAAAGTCTTTCGAAATTCTCGAAATTTTCGAGATTCTCGAAATTTTCGAATTTAAGCTTCTATATAATAATATATTAGAAAATATAAGTTAATAAAGTAAATTATATTTATAATTTAGCGGCTTAATAAAGTTTAAAAACTATACTTCGTTTAATATTTAGCTTAACGATATATTAGTAGCGTAAGAAATAATTTTCACGCTATCGACTTACGTAGGGTTCTAAGATTTCCTCTTTTAATACTCTTTTTATAAGTATTCTCTATACTTTAAATCGTAGTCGTAAATTAAATCCTTCGCGTTCTTTAAATCTTTTATCTTATATTATATATTATAGATCTTTTCTTAATCTTTTTATTTTACTAGATACTCTATAATATCTTCTTTATCTTTATTTCCTCGATCTAGAACATCTGCAAATCTGAAAAGTTCCTGCTAAATTTCAAATTGCTGATCTTGCGAATAGGGCTGAAATTAAGAATTCCGCCGGTTCAGCAACTATCTCAAAAATCAGCCAAAATTCCGCCGGTTCAGCAACTATCTCAAAAATCAGCCAAAATTCCGCCGGTTCAATAACTATTCTAATCTTTTCCGTCAGTTCTATCAGTTTAGTAGCAATACGCATGAAAAAGAAAAGTTCTAATAATCGACGTTGCGACGGCAAGGTTCTACGACGACGAGTATCAATATCAACTCAAATTTGGCTACGGAATTGGACGATTTAATGAAATTAGTCGCGTAAGTGATGCTCTAATCATATAGCGCATAATGATACGCATGTTAATGATGATATATATTAATGCCATATGTATATAGAATAGTACTTACTAGTAGAGTGTATTAGAGTGCATTACGCAAAATTTTTGAAGTTGTAAATTTTTTTTGAAGTTGCTAAACTGATAGAACTGGCGG